ATAGAGACCAACACTTAGAGGGTGTAGAGTGTGATTGTAAGAGTGTTGATTGTAAAGTTTTCGATAAGCTAGAAAACTGAGTGTGAGGTTTAAACGTTATTCGGTGAGCGTAGAAAACTCGGTTGTGTAGTGGATTCTCCCCAGGAGTGGGGAGCAGAGACGTAGGATGGAAGGTCTGAATTCTATAATCATATTGTTTGTTTGAGTTTGCATGGCGCACTCTTTTTGTTCATCTTATTTAGCCATTGCCTATTTGTTTATTTTGTCCATTATTTTGTTTACCCTTATTTATAGTACTTATCCTTGCATATATATCCTGTTGCATATCATATTTGCTAGGATATTTGTTTTAACTAGCATTAAATTAGATTAGATTAGCATAAACCCTATTCACCCTCCCCCCTAGGGTGCTTTCATCCATATCCTTTGTGCCAAACGATCTTGAAATTCTGCCATCTGACGAAGGTGCTCCAGGCTAACACGAATTTGCAAGTTTTGGCAACCTCTTCCCCTTCTCTATCTTTGATATAGACAACTTTGCAAAATTGCATCATCAGGGTACGCAATCCACTCTGAATACACGCTACCATAGCGGGAAGTAGTGCATAGGATCATCCGTGAGCCAAATGGACTACAGGATAGACCACCTCGACAAGGATCACCTCGAACGAATGTGTAGGGATCACACAACATTTTAGCCATAACATTAGATACCCTGCGAGAATAGCCTTATTGGAGATGGGAACCTTGGCTTGGTGATGGAAAGATTGGAAGGTCGTTCCCGCCTTGAACCCTCCTTCATCGGACTCGAGGGTGTCCAAAATTGATTTACTGTCGAAAATCCTCTTCGCCACCACCATCTCATCATAAATGTCCAAAGGCAGAATTATCCTTTTCTTGTCATCAATATTCTGAAACAAATAATCGGCCCAATTCTTGTGGCTGATGCCTTGGCTTCTCTTCTTCTTGCCTGGTGATCCACCGTCCCGATAGTATGCAGACAGATGTAGTAGTGGCAAAGCAGCTCTCAGAGGATCTCAGCCAATTGAGGAAACTTATTTAAGATATATTCAATCTACCTCTGTCTGGGACGTATTCTTTATACGGAAACTCCCCCATTTATAGTCTTGAGACAGCGTACATCTCATGCAACGCGAAGCCCAGTTCTCCGTTTGGAGCGAAGAAAGTGTAGGTCTCGAGACAATAAAGCTCCAAAATGATTTGAAACTATGTTTTATTAATCTTGAGGCTGAACTGTGTGGTCCTAATGGCAGTATATAACTTTGTGCCATGCATGTTGGAGTTCTCCTCTAACACAAACTCGATGATACAGGACCACCAGAGCGTTGTACCCGGTGCAGAGTGAATCCACTGAGGAGCTCGGGAGTCCTTCGGCAAAAATTAACCCCCGATGTTGAAGAAGCTGTGGTGGAAGGTCTCAGCCACTGCCACTATTTCCCCCATTGGTAGGTTATTCTGCAACAAGTCGGGATGTAAGGTTGTGACGCACTTCCCTAAGCTATTAATTCCAAACCCGACCTTCGAACCGGTGAAAAGGCAGCAGGTGACTCCGTCCTAGGTGGGGGTTAGGTCCCAATCCATCACTCTCGGCACAGAGAGTGATCTCAGCTCTACAATAGAGAATCCCCTTGCCATGGCGGGGATAAAATAGCGAGCGTCACCTACGATGCGAAACATTCACCAAGATACAAACTTGTCGGATCAACCATCGCATCACCAAAAAGGAAACATGACTTCTTCATCTCCCTACTCTTTGAATCAGTCATGGCAGTGTCCGTGATGAGCTCTCGAAGCATGAGATAATGCCCCTCAGAAATCCTTTGCTCACGCTCTGCAGAACTATCAAGGGAGAAAACTGATATAGGTTCACGAATAGGGAACCTGGCTGGAGAAGAGAATCCTACCTCGCTGGCATGGCCAATCACACTGACCTTTGGGATAGCTACTCCAGAATAAGCCACTACAAAACAAAGAAGCAAGAGAAATTAAAAATCTTTGGCAAAGTGGAAATTTTCGCTAAGACCCTTGAATAGGCAAACTAAGTCATGCAGGCGAACTCGACCATGTAGACGAGCCTTGTGAAGATGGTGCATTTGATGAAGTGAAAATTTTTACCAACTCCTCAAAATAGGCGAACTAAGTCATGCAGGCGAACTCAGCCATGCAGGCGCACTAAGAAAAGTACGCCTGACTGAACAAACCTCGCCTGACATTGAAGTTCGCCTGAATAGACGAACTTTGCCAGACAATGAAGTTCGCCAGAACATATGAAGTTTGCTAGAACTAATGAAGTTCGCCAGAAAAGATGAACTTCGCCTGAACTAACGAACTTCACTAAAACATGAAGTCCACCAGAGTAGACGAACTTTGCCAGAACTAACAAAGTTCGTCGAAAAAATGAACTTCACATGTTCATCTTCTTCAATTTTTGACGTTTCACATTAGTAAAACAATGTAAAAAAGACAGGGTGTTTAAAGCTCCCCTGAGGAGGGCGGAGAGACACCAAATGTGGCGGAAGAGGAAGCCTTCCCATTTCCTTTCGAGACAACAGATTTAGTCTTGAGTGCCATGGAGAAAATCGTAAGGAATTAGTTCGAAGGTTTTTGAGAGTTCGGGCAAAGAAAGAGTAAGTTTGCAGAAATTTCTTCATGAGGGAGATGAAGCCTATATATAGGCGAAAAGATCGACAATTGAGATCCAATCTTCCAACCGAAGCGACGGTTTGGATCGAATAAAATGGTTTAACGGTCATAATTTACCCTCGATTTTAATGGTCAAGATTTGTTATCTAAACGATGTGACATTTCGGGTTCAAATGAGCGGTTGAGATTTGATTTTTCAAAATCAATGGTCACGAGTAACTCTCAAAGAAACAGCTGAGATTCGATATCCAACCGACGCAATGACTCAGATCGAGCGAGTAAAACGATGAGGTCAAATAACATTTAATGCTATTTGACATGTCATCATCGCCTCGACTGGCGAACTTCGAAGTCCGCTCATAGCTACTAGGTGTGCCTGCAACTATTTGGTTCTCCTGCGATGCCAAGTCCGCCTGAATGATTAGCTTGCTTGAATTCACAAGCTTCGCCAGAAAAGCACAACTTCGCCAGAATGGTTAGGTTCGCTACTTCGCCTGAATCAATGAATGGTGAGCATTGTGTGAGTCTGGGTATTCGGAGTATTCCAGACCCCATACAACCCAATTTGGGTCTCAAAACTTTGAAGGGGGTTTTGTAGGCAAATAAAATTGCCTTTATCCTTAAGAAAGAAAGCTTAAAAGTTCGCATGTAGGGCTGGACTCCGCTCGAATGTTGAAGTGCGCATGAACATTCAAGTTCGCCTGAACACTTCACATTACTGACAAAGTAAAGTTCGCATGAATACTTGACTCCGCACACAAAGTCAAGTTCGCCTGAATGCTTGACTTCGCAAGCAAAGCTAAGTTCGCCTGATAACACAACTTCGTCTAAATCAATCACACAGATAAGCTCGCCTGAACACTAAGCTTCGCCTGAATGAAGATAAGTTTGCCTGAACTTTAACTTTGCCTGCGAGGTTTGCCTGCACGTTCCAACTTGCTTGCAAGCTCATCAAGCTCGCCTGAATGTCAAGTCCGCCTGAACTGCTTGACTAAGTCGGTCACTTAAGCTTGAATTGTGGAAGCGGCTGCACCCACTTCTCACATTCCTAGGAGATGGTTACACACCATTCTCCTCTATAAATAGCCACTATTGGCTACCAAATGGAGGACGAAAGATTAAGATCTTGGCACATTAAGCAATCAAGCATTTTTGGCTAGCCTTCAAGCATTCTAGCTCGGGTATTCAAACTCAAAAGACCAAACTTCTACCACGAGAGGAAGTTTGTTCACAAACTTGTTCGAATCGTCAACGGGAAGTAAACTCGACTCAAGCATCGAGGGAGGCATCCTTTTGCCCCAAAAGATCCCACGTTAAACAAAAGAAAGATCGAATCAATTCTCTCTTCTTCTGTGTAAAAGCGATTTCTAGTTTGTAACAAACAATCAATAAATACAAATTTGAGATCACATTTTACGACCTACAGGCTCTCATACATCATTCATAACTACTGCAAGTGAAGTTTCTCAGCGACACGGACATCCTAGTTTCCGCCCATGGAGCACAAATGACCAACTTGATCTTCATGGACAAGAACAACAACGTAATGGAGTTCTTCCCAAAAGGATGGCTTGAGCACGCTGGCATTGGAAAGTTCACCTTCAAATGAATGGCAGGTTATACAGGCATGAGGCACCGAGGGCAGTGGAAGGATAAAGAAGGCAAGGATTGTCCTTACAACGACAATGGCAGCTGTTTTGCTTTCTACAAAAATGGTAACATTGGGCATGACGAAGCGTATTTCACTACTTGGATGGCCGATGTCCTTCGAGAGGTGAAGGCATCAAAGCAGCAACAAGCAAGAGATCCAGCAAAGTGAATGCCCTTGCAGCTGGAGGTTGTTCTAGTGACTCATTTTTGCACCACAAAATTACCAGAAATTTGACGTCTGTTATTGTCATTACGTTTATTCTATCCGCATGCTCTACAATGTTCACAAATTCAGCGTCCAAAGGTTTGTATCCAGATACAAAAGGCATCGTGACATGAGCTGTCATGCAAAAAGACTAGCTGTGGCAGTTACAGCAGACGACCAGTACTTAAATCCTAGTGTTCGGCCGTAAAACAGTTGACTAAGATTGCCAGGGGCATGTGTAAATCTATCTTGATACTGAATGAAATACCCATCAGTTTGTGCTCATGACGAGTTACTACCTTACAAAATTAACATCACTCCTTAGCTAGGTCTTATACCAAAATATTTTACAATAATGACAAGTAATATTGTGAGGGGACATCATTACACCCCTGCAAACAATTAAATGGTTAAACACAAGGTTTCATAGTTAATGATTGACAATAATAACCCATAGTAGCGGTCCCCGGAGCAAAAAACATATTTTGCAAGCCCACAAATATTAACTTGAACCAGGAAAACACGGTACGTCAATGGTTATGTACACTATTCCGTCAATGGTTATGTACACTATTCTGTTCGAGAGAGTAGGATGACAAAAGCATATTTATCGAATATGTCTCCATTAAGACTAGATACATTTTTCAGACAAATTTGTGGATCCCCGACTATCACAAACCAAGAGTACAAAACTCACTCTAGATAGAATTCCTCGAGTTCCCGCTGATACTTCTATCTCTTTGAGAATTTGGACAAGAAATAGACTACAAAGAAGCAGAAAAGCGCGAAGAGAACCACATGCAGGACATGATTTGAACCGTTCTGAACGATGCTCTTGTTCAGCCTCCTCATATTGTTCTTCACCCCTGCCTGAGCTTTAAGGAGTGTCATTTGCTGTTTAGGAAAGAGAATTTGTCTTTAATATACGCAATATATGATAATCAGACCACCAAATGTAGGCTCCAATGACTACAAAGAGAAGTAAATATCGGTCAGAGAAATGAAGTTATAGGGCACATTGTTCCAGTATTCACATGGAGAGGTAAATATTGTTCGACTATATGAAAATCAAACCACCAAAAGTAAAGCCCAAATGAGTACAAGAAGTAAATATCGGTTGAATATGAAATTAAGTTAACGAGTGCGTTGTTCCAGTATTCACATGGACCCATGTTGCTTAGAAAGGCTCAAGTTTTCACATACGTAAAGGCATGGTTATTATGTATTGATTGACAATCTGAACTTTAAGACATCCACAGGTTCCCGTTGACCTAGCTATATGTTCTGCCTCTTAAACTAAGTTATTAATTTGACTAAAAGGAAGCTCTATTAAGCCAGGTTGATATCATATTTCGGGAGGGGGGCAAAATTGTTGGTGCCTTCTGGCAAAGGGAAGACTATAATGGTTTCTTCTAACATACTGCAGCTTATGATACTCCCCAAAACTAGATTATTGCATGAAAAGTAAATCAACATGATCAAACAGTGCTAAATAAGCTGTCTATTATATAAAAGGATGCAGCTGCAAATATAGTTATGATGTTGATAAACTAAAAGAACACACATGACCAGATAGTGTTAAAATAACTAAACAGCATGTATGATGCTTCTCAATAGCTAAATTATGTTCATGTAAAGTAAATCAACATGATCATAGTGTTAAACTAGTTGTCTATTATATAAAATGAAGTGGCAACAACTGCGTGATTAAAAAGAATTGAATAAGCTGCAATTACATAAAATGAACAGCCCCGAAATATATTTATTATTTAATATTGATAAACTAACAGAACACAATCATGAGCATGAGAAGCTCATCAATCTCTCACTTGATCACTGATGAAAGTTGACGCATTTACAGAGAAACATTGGACTGTGACAATATGAAATATGAATACAAAGTCAACAAGAAATCTAGAATTTGCAAGCAAATGTAGATTTCTTTGTAAGCATGGATCTACAAGAATATAGGGTCAACAAATAGATCCAACCTGTTGCCAGTTGCCAGCCACCCCCACTGTACTATAGAAGTTTCAAATTCACGGTGCAGAGGTGAAACTTAAGTTAGTAAATGAACTGAACCTAGACCAAGATCTTTATTTATCCAGATACTTAGACTCCAATAAAACTTTAAGGCATTAACCAGGAATGAGCATCTGTGACACACATTGGCTACCATCAACATGTATTGCTCGAAAATATCACATTTAAAAAATATCTACTTGGTTTTGCAGTCTTTCTTCTCATTTAGTGTAAATTAAACCCAACAAGCACCAGATTGTCAAATACAGACATATTTTAAGGTAGCATAAGCACCATGATAAAACATGTCTTGCATCCTTTTTTCTTTACGACTGATCTAACTTACGCTAACAATAACGTTAAAGATATACATGAAAGATATTTGTCCTAGCATTTTGAAGAAGCATAATTTGGCACATCATACAAAAGTTCAAAGAGAACACTTACCGTCCATCTTCTCTCATGCCATCTTGTGTATACTACTTCTATCTAGGAGCTGAAAACTTAAATGAACTTTCAAAATAGAACTAAAGATCAGCAGAATATAAACAAGAAGAAAGATATCTTCCCCTTTGTTCTATTATCCTAAACTAGTTAGATTGATCTCCACTTGAAAGTGAGCCACATCCCAATCATCTTATCTTCCCAAGACAATGAGACAGCAGGCCCTCTCTCTTCAAATTGACAAATTTAAAAGATTGAAATATAAAAATGGAAAACCCTCTCAGAACAAAGAGATTAAATTTCTCTCAAATTCTCAACACTTCCTCTGCTCACCAACCCACAATTCATTCTCTCTCCCCCAGTCTCAACTAACTGCTACCCAAGCTCTCTTACTCCTCTTCACTAACCTCACCACTCA